TCTATATATCACTGGAAATCCGAGACGCGCACGCAAAACTGCATGACAAATTCGCGCTTCCCATTGAATAGTTATCCCGAACAACTTTTAGGTCATGTGCGAGTTACGTGTCGGTTTTCGGGCCTTTGATGCCCCTGCCCTTTTAACTTTGTCCGGAAGTGAAACTTCCTGAATAAGGAAGCCCTAAACATCCGCACTGAGCAGAATCTAGAGAAGTTTAGGACAAATTAAAAAAGCACAGAAATTGCAGAAAGCAATGAAATAGTACTGTAAATTAGACGTAAAGAAACAAAGAAAGAACGATCCAAAGCAGAGCCTGAGTGTCCTGAAAGCCTGAAAGAAAATTTCGGTACTTGTAGTTGGTCGCTCACGGATTGACGAAGTGGAGCCACTAAGAAATGAAGAGCTATATGGAAAAATGCCCGGTGGCTGGCCGATGGCAGATAAGTGGCAGCGTGCGAAGAATTCAACTGTTGAACAGCCAAATAATGGATCATGGATAGTTTTCAAGCACGGTGATACCGACTTATCTTCAGGACAAAGCCAAACGAAAAGCGCAGTTGCAGTTAGTTGCTCTTTCCAGATATCCGCAAATCAACAGTCCTCGTGCTGAAAACAACAAACTTTTTTGACTCCCAAAAATAATAAATATTTTAAATCAAGCCTTTGCCACGAAAAACTACTTCGGAAGGCATCCATGAAAACATGTTCCTGGGGTTTGTACTGTATAAGCGGCGTTGTTTTCTATTAATGTAGCGGATAACTTTTCCATTTTCCTTGACCAGTGATAACTAATCATCGCCTGGTGGTTAACTGGTTCCTTACGGCCGTACAAAAACAAACAGTTGTATTAGAAAAGTAGAAAAATATTTTAAAGTTAGGAGAAAAAAAGCAAATAATATTAAGAAGTTAGTAAAAATTGTGAAATTTTGTAAAATATAGTATAATAGTAAGAGGTGTTTCGGTCCGTTAAGTCGTAGTATACATTTCTTACCATTACTAAAATTGGACCTCGTCAGCACGGTTCCTGTGGTAATTAGTGTAAATATGAATTTAATTTATGACTCGAGCTGAAAATCGCTTTTATGGAAAATTTTTGTGGTATCTTACACCAGACCTAATTTTTTGTTCACGAAACAGATTAAATAAGGGAGACAACAAAAAAAAAAACTTTTCTCGGCGAAATAATTTAGGTACAAAGCCTAAGCGGAATTATTAGTTAATCACACGATGAATTAGCGAGTGGTCGAAAAATGATCTGTTGCCTGAGCGGCTGTCTAAAGATTGATCCGGAAACAAAAACGGATAATTTTTGGGATTAGTCCTGTAGCTAACAATTGATAATATAACATTTTAGCTGTCAAATTTGAGAAATGGTGAGGAAAATTCTATTCCAGCTTCAATTGCCAGAAGAGGAGATGGTACGTTTTTTCGCTTTTTTTGCCCGTCTCAAAAAAGTATTCAATGCCGATGTAGTGTTTCAACTGGAACTTTTTGAATTTTTATACTTCGTTGGCAGCAAATGAATGGTAACAGTAATGAAGATATTAACAATTATAATAATAATGGCAATAATAATGATAATAATGAAACAATGATAATGGCAGTGTTAACAACAACAATGGTGATAATAATAGTTATTGTTAGTATCTTTGTTGTTCATACCATTACTGTTACTATCATTATTATCATCAAAATAATAATGCAGGAGATAACTGCAAATAAATTATTATAGCTTCAATGGCACGTGGCCAACTACACTACATTTATGACTCAATACTGCAAATCTGCAGTGAAATTTTGAAAAAAAAAACAGCTTTACAACGAAAGCAGTGAAAAAAAATGTGAGTACAG